ATAGAAGAGGATATGATGACCTTTCTCTCTAAGGTTGGAAATAATATTCGAGGAGATTTTAGAATGGAGGAGATTAACCTCTGCGTAGACGACTTAACTACAGCAGTAAAGAGCATGAGTAATAATAAATGCCCAGGAGCGGATGGTCTACCTAAGGAATTTTATATAACCTTTTGGGAAGATTTAAAAGATCAATTGCTAACGATGTTCATGGAGAGTCTACGCATAGGAAAACTCCCATCTTCTTTAATAGGAGTCATCTCATTGATGTTTAAAAAAGGAGACAAACCAGATCTGAAAAATTGGCATCCCTTGACTTTGTTAGGGGTAGATGCTAAAATATTGTCTAAAGCTCTTTTCTTTAAGTTTCAGCCTATTATGCCTAAGCTTATTGGTAGCGATCAAACATGTGGTATTAAGGGGCACTCCTTACAAGATAATTTGGCATTAGCCAGAGATAGTTATTTGTTTGCACATGACCGTAAACTGTCTTTGGCGATTTTAGGACTAGATCTCGAAAAAGCCTTTGACAGTATAGATCATTGCTATTTATATAGACTATGTGAGCATTTAGGTTTTGGACCCTCTATATGCTCATGGATTAAGCTCCTTTATACAGACTGCCAAAGTAAGGTATTGGTAAATAACCATTTGTCAGACTCGTTTGAGATTCGCTCGCGCATACGACAAGGTTGTAGCTTGTCCCCACTGCTATTTATTTTAGCGGTGGAGCCATTAGCTTACGCGCTCAGGCAAAACCCAGAAATTAAAGGGTTTCCGATTCCGGGTAGCTTAGGTAGAGAGGCTAAGGTCTCACTTTATATGGATGATCTTACCCTCTTTCTTATTGATAATAATTCTATTAAGAAAACTTTGCAAATCTGTGAAAAGTTTACTCTAGCTACCGGTGCGAAAATTAATAGAAAAAAAACTGAAATTCTGTATTCCTTTTGGAAAGAACCTAAATTAAAATTAGGCTTTAAAGATCAGGTAGAATTTATTAAGATTTTAGGACTTTCGATTGGTAACAATATGGAGAAAATGAATTGGGATCAGAGACTAGATTAAATTAAATGGAAAGTAAAACAGTGGGAGGATCGAGACCTTACTTTGAGAGGGAAAGTGCTAGTAATAAATGCTGAAATTTTGGCTTCCCTTACCTTCCTAGCTGTAACCTTGCCGGCACCAGTCAATTTTATAAGATCAGTTAAAAAAAGTCTTGTTCGGTTTCCTTTGGGGCTCCAAACATGAAAGAATGAGAAGAGAGATACTGTATAAACCAGTAGCTATTAGTGATTGTGCATTAGTGATGAACACCTGCTGTTATTGAGAATTACAGAGGATCAGATGTTGATGTTTTATTGGTTAAAATGATGGCACCATCATGAAGATCAGTGTTTGCTTTAGTTGGGCTCTTGACCCTTTTAAAAATAATAAAAAGTTATTTGCTTTTAAGCAATTACAATATTGCTTTACAACAAACATTTGTGCATTGCCAACTCAAAAGCTTGAGGAAGCAGTTTACATGTTCTGCTTTTAGCTCACTTGAGTGAATATTGTGAAGGTGTCTGTTATTGGTTTATAGACAAACACATTCAGCTGTTACAGAACAGAAAAAAAGTCATATTAAAAAAATGCTACCATGATGCTTAAATATTAAAAAAAAGAGGAACTAAATTGCTCAGGCTTTTAGACATGAACACTTATCATATGATCCTCAACAGTGGTGACAATAATTATTCATATTGCATTGCATGATGGGAGTTTTTACTATGGTGTTACCCAGCATGCATTGCAGCATGAAAAATTTTGTTGATTGTCACCATTGTTGAGATTCATATGCTGGTTCTTGATGTCTGTGTGTGTCTTCATTACATTTGTATTCAACTTATTAAATGCGTAATATAGTCTCAACATCAGTTAGATACAACTATTAGAATAACACTTACATTGCATGCTGTTGTTTACCAACGTTGATTATACAAAATCTTAACATTTAAAATAGCTAGTTTGGATTTGAACAGGTTGAACCCTGATAATTTTTTCATCATTTGATAACAGCTAACAGCTCTCCACGACAAAGCACTTGTCTCACTGCTTTCCAACACCTCATGCATTACTTCAAAGACAGATCTAAGACAAGAAGTCAAGGGTCAAGAGTTAGTTTGGGCCAATAAAACATCAACATCTGATCCTCTGTAATTCTCAATAACAGCAGGTGTTCATCACTAATGCACAATCATCATTTAATTACTCACTTAATTATCTCATTAACTTTAACACTGCTTCAGTGTTACTTTAACACTCTTTTAGAGTGGGACCATATATGCTCCGAGCAGTGTTAATTTAACACTCGGGAATTTACTGTGTACATTTGTTTATATATGAGGCGTTCATTTGCTAAAACAAACCCAACTTTAACAATTCTCAGAAGTCATGTTTTTTCATTGTGCATTCCAATTAATCTCAATCAAAATCTAATTATTTTGATTAGGTTAAAAAATAACTAACAATACAGCTAACTAACACAATAAAACACATTAAAAACATGATCACATAATAAAAAACATGATTTTTGAAAATGTAACAAAACGGAGTTATCTGTTTTTTTGCAAATAAACTCTTCATATACTTTTTGATAATGACTGCCTCTAAAGCTAACAGTATCATTGATGTGCTATATTCATCAGTGTAACACTGATTGCTGGTGTGTGCACTGAACAAAGGGGAGATGCAGACTTCACATGAAACAAAGGGCAAAAAAACAATAACAAAACCTCTTCTTTACTACCTTTATTATCTGTATTCAATATAAACAACTTTTTATTATTTGTTCCTAAATACTTGTGGGTTTAACACAATTTAACAACTGTTATGTCTGTATTTATTAACAAATTATTTACAGATATCAGAGAAATTTACAAATATATATTTGTTCTGAATGTAATTTTGCATGGTAAAGAACTGGTAAAATTACATTTAGTTTCACATTGTAAAAGATAATAATAATAGTGCTGTCAAACGATTAATCACGATGAATCGCATCCAAAATAAACGTTTTTGTTTACATAATATGTGTGTGTACTCTGTTTATTTATTATGTATATATAAAACACACACATACCGTATATATTTTGAAAATGTATATATATTTATATTATTATATTTTATATTATATATAAATATATTTAATGTATAAACATAACATATATTTCTTAAATATATACATGCATGTGTTTGCATTTATATATACATAATAAATATACACAGTGGACACACATATATTATGTAAACAAAAACTTTTATTTTGGATGCGAATAATTGCGATGAATCGTTTGACAGCACTAAAATGATAATAATAATAATAATAATAATAATGATAAGTTAATAAATTCACAAACTTTTACATCAAAAATGCATCAGTATAGTTAAGATGCTAACCGAGCTGTAGAAGTTGAGAAATTATGTATATCACGAATGTAAGAATTTATTCAGTATGAGCTTTGTTTGGCAAGCCAGCAGAACTTTTTTGAATAATCACAATTATTGTCACAAATATTGTCATTTCTTTGTACTCCCACATCCTAATCTGCTTTAAAACCCAGTGTTTTTGAATACATTTCAATAATATTTAATATGATTTGATTTATATTATGGAAACTAGATCTGATAATTGCACCCATGTTCACTCTAATTATGTATGAACTTGGTGTGATTTTTGTCAGTGTGTAAATACACTACAACACCCCTCACCTGATTGTTGACTCACAGAATACGGAATAAGGCAACCGAAAAAAGGCATTGTTTTTATTTTGTTTGCACAAACAAAAATGAACAATTAAACCATCCTTAAGTATTCAGTGACATCTACCACCACAGTAACTAATCAGGGGTGCATTTCCAAGCATTGTTCACTATCTATGGTCGTTAATTTCATTGAACTCCATTTGTAATGACGCAACTTGTGACCATAGTTGCTTTTGGGATACGCATCCCTGTTTAGTAAGCCATTTACGCATCACTATAAAAAAGGGAGAAAAAGTTTTATTATATATTAAGTATATTAATATTAAGTTTTTTCAATTTGACAAATTTTCATGTTATTTGAAGTTTATTTGGAATAACTTCATGAACATATGGTAAACTTTTCAGTACCGAAGTTCATGTGCATTTAACCTTGACTTATTTTCTTAGTTCAACCAAATAAATAATTATTTTATTTTGATAGTTCTTCTATTTCAATTGTAAATAATTATTTTATTTCAAATGTTTCAGTCATGTTCCAGTTAATAATTTACTGCAAAAATAAGTGATCTGATGTCAGCCATTGAAACATATCAACTGCAAATAAAACCCATTAAATCTCTGAAGATCTCGGCAGAGGAGGATTAAACAACTCTGACTTTATTTCTGTCATAAATTGTTTCTGAGGTTTAGCTCTGGTTAATGCTGATTTTCCCCATTATAGAGAGAAGTGTTTGCTCATCTGACTTTGGCTTTCTTTGCCACAACATATGTGTTTTCTAAGTGCACTGTTAGCAGCCAGTGAAAGACTCAAGCATCAAGAGCCAAACTAAAGCACATGCTATTCATCAAAATAGTGACTTCAAACAAAACTATTATTTTCATTTAATAAAGGTGGAGTTGGAGCTCCAAAAATGTTAGGAAAACAAAACAAAATATTACAGTCCATTTACAGTAAAGTAAATTTACAGCCCCGAAGGTTCAAAGGCTTAAACTTTGTGCCATCTTTACAAATGAAGAATAAAAGACTTGAATGTTTTAACATGTTCATTGCTTCAACTTCAGTTGTGCTGGGAAATTTTTTTGAATTCAGGTTGAGTGCATGAACTTTTTCAAATAAATCAATTGAAGAATTATTTATGCACTTGAATTTTGATTCCATATTATAAGCCATAAATAAATAACTTTGTGTTCAGTGTGAAAATCCCATTCAAATAAGACCAATACAAATCTAAAACTTCGAGTTGGATGTAGTGTTACCGTTTCAGTGCTGATATTAGTGTAACAGCTGCTCCTCCAAATGCTGCTGCTAAAGCAGCTACTGCAGCTACTCTTCCTGATGAGGCCAGTTTCCCTGCAGCTGCTGCAGATCTGGCTGCTGCTGCTGCTGCTACTGCTGCCAGACCTGTAACTACTCCTTTTGCTGTCGCTGCTGCACTTTCTACAGCTGCTACTGCTGTGTTTGCAACTGCTTCTCCTGCTGTTTCTACTGCTTTTTCTACCGTTTCTGCTGCTTTTTTTGTAACTGCTTCCCCGGCAATTTCTACTGTTTTTTCTACAGTTTCTATTGCTTTTTTTGTAACCGCTTCTCCTGAAGTTTTTACTGCTTTTTCTACAGTTGCTGTAACTTCTTTTCTAACTGCTTCTGCTGCCGTTTCTACTGCTTTTTCTACAGTTGTTGCTGCTCTTTTTGTAACTGCATCTCCTGCCGTTTTTACTGCTAGTTCTACAGCTGCTACTGCTTTTTTTGAAACTGTTTCTCCTGCCGTTTTTACTACTTGTTCTACAGCTGCTACTGCTTTTTTTGAAACTGCTACTCCTGTAGTTTCTACTGTTTTTTCTATAGCAGATAAAAGCTTTTCTACAGATTGTACTCCTACTTCTTTTGTAGTCATTATTGCACTTTCTGCAGCTTCTTCTGCTGCTTTTTCTACAGCTGCTTCTGCTTTTTTTGTAACTGCTTCTCCTGTAGTTTCTATAGCTTTTTCTATAGCAGCTAAAACTTTATCTACAGCTTCTTTTGTTGCTTCTGTAGTCGCTTTTGCACTTTCTGCAGCTGTTCTGCCAGCCATTATCATGCCTGCTATTGTCACTGTTCCTAGAAATCCAATCCCTAGCACTGCAACTGTCCATTCAATCTTTGCCCATTTTCCTTCCTTCTTCATCTGAGTGGTTTTAAACATCTCAAAAGTGTAATGCATCATTTCATTTTTCTTCATCATTGAGTTGATCTTCTTCAGCAGTTCTGTGACCTGATCTTGATGGTTTTTGTCTTCATTGTTGAATGAGTGATATCTGCCACCACAGTTGTCAACAATTTTCAGTAAATATTTGCTTTTCTCAATGTACTCGTCCAGAGGTTTTCCCTTCAGCAGATCAGCGTGAGTGAACAGAATGATGGTACGGCGCAAAGCTTCTTCTCCAAAGTTCTCCTGAATCCATTTCACTGCTTCTCTCTCTTCTTCTGTGAATCTCACACCCAGCTTTAGCACCAGCAGAAACACATGAGGACCAGGAGAGGACATCTCTACACACCTTTCTATTTCAGTCTTCACTCGTTGTTTATCCATAGCTGTGTTAAACAGTCCTGGAGTGTCAATTATAGAGACGTGTTTTCCATCCACCACTCCTCCCTGTTTCTCACAGAGTTTATTGGCTGATTTCATGAAATCAACAACTTCAAAAGCCTTTCTGCCCAGGATGGTGTTTCCTGTTGCACTTTTTCCTGATCCAGTTTTACCCAGAAGAACCATCCTCAGATCAGACCCTACAAATAAATTTAAAAAAAAGTCTTAATATGTAACACAAATATACATTCATACAGTTCTGTGAATTCAATGAAAAGGTACATTTGGATTAAGAACATTCCAGTGATCATCTTAAATTTAAAGCAGAAATACTACTGTTAACAAAATTATTGGCATGAAAAGTTATGGGACATGTTGGGTGCAAGTCTCTAGAATGTTTTAATGACAAATTATTTTATTTTATTTTATTTTTTTTTTTTTGGGGGGGGGGGGGAGGAGGAAACAAACTGTCAGAGACTAACGGCTTTGAGAGATTCCAGTGCTGTGAAAAGTCAGCCCAAAGAAAGTGTGTCATTTATCATGGGAGAGAGAGTGAGTGAGAGAGAGAGAGAGACAGAGAGGATAAACAAAACATTCACAGTGGACGACTCTTCCCTGTTTTTTTTTTTTTTTTTTTTTTTTTTTTTTTTTTTTTTTTTTTTTTTTTTTTTTTTTGGGGGGGGGGGGGGGGGGTCTTCTTTTTAAACTCTATATAATGGGCACATGAATGGCCCTTTAAGCTGTTTCTTCTGTTACATGACTCCCACTCATTTACTTTATTTTGCATGACTCTCTATCCTTTTGCATATATGTACTGTTGCCATGTGTATGCAACATTATCACTGACATATAAACATTTATACTTAAAAGATATAAAGCATTATATAGACTAATTACAGTTGATGATACTTTAGTGCAAAAACAACTAAACATTTTTTGTACTCTAGTAATATTCAAAGATTATTGTTGAAGTGAAACAGTTATTAAACAAATATTGGTTGATATTCAAAAATGCATAATACAATTTTATTGTTTTAAATTCAAAGGCTCAAACTTGCACACTGACTAAAATAATAAAACTTTATCACTTTAAATGATCAGTTTTATTATTCTATTTACATTAATCAAATTTAATAATTACATTTACATTTTTTAATAAGATTTTCTTCACAGACCTGTAAATGTTGAAGTCATTGTTATTGCCGTCTCTGGTGTTTCTCCTCCGTCTTCTCTCTGAGCTGCACAGAGTCAAAGTGCTGCAGCTCCTGCTTAAACCTTAAACCAGTCACATCCTTTCATTCACACCACGATCACGTGACTAAAGTCTTCCTGAGAGCTTTTAGTTTCTCTATTGATTTGCTGAAGATATGCCCACAATTATTTTAATTCTCAAACTTCTCAAACACATAATAGTTGTTTTCAAGAGTCCCACTCCGTTGCTAGGGAAATTCTGTTGTGTCAATGCATACCCAAATGCTTTTGTTTTCATTGGTGGGGACTTTAATATTGTGCCTAATAATATCCTTGATAGACTGCCACCTAAACAGTCTTTCTCTACTAATTCTAAATTAAAATATATATATATATGGATAAATTTGATGTTATTGATATTTGGAGGGAGACATTTCCCAATATTAAATCCTATACTTGGAGCAACCAAAGTTGTTCTAGACAGTCCCGTATAGACTATTTAATGTTTTTAATGTTTCTGTTAGTATTCTACCTTCCCCTATGACGGATCATAAGGCAACTCTTATCCAGTCCCCTCTGTCTTCAGGTTTCTCTTCTTCAAGACCTAGAACCTCTTATTGGAAGCTCAACTCTTCTTTGCTTAAGTATGACCAATTGAGAAAAAAATATTTTATTTTTGAGGATCAAAGATCAAAAGGAAAATATATATGGCCTCAATTGGGAGCTTCTTAAACATGAAGTAGGTTAAATGTGCGACGAATTTTGGCAGTCATTTAACTAAACTTAAAAGACGTGAAGAGGAGCCTGTCATCTCTAAAATAATGATTCTCTTGGGTATTCGGCCAATCACAACGCACAGGATAGCTGGCCAATCACAGCACACCTCGCTTTTCAAACCAATGAGCTTTGTAAAAATAGATGTGAACACTTTCTTACCAGCATTTTACCATTAAACTTAAGATAATTTGTTTACAGTGTATGAGGTAAACAATGTAAAATACAGAGGGAAATTGAGCATGAATGTCATTTAAAGTACTAAAATAACAAACTAAAACTGAAGTAAAAAATAAAACATATTTTTAAAAAAACTAATACAAATTGCAAAAACACACAATACAATCACTTAAACTGAAATGAAAATGTAAAAATGCAAACTATTGAAAATTTTTAATTATTTATCAAATTATAATAAAAACTATATAGACATTAAATAAAATTAATTAAAATGGCATATTATACTGATTTCTGAAGATCATGTGACACTGAAGACTGGAGTAATGATGCTGAAAATACAGCTGCGCATCACAGGAATACATTACAGCTTAACAGATACTCACATAGAAAGCATATAAATATTTCACTGTTTTTACTGTATTTTTGATCAAATAAATGCAGCTTTGGTCAGCAGATGACACATATCCCTACTAGACATTGAATCACACAATCTAACGTTAATATTTTATGCAATTAATAATAATTTCATATTTTACTTTCTATAGATATTAAACCACACATCTGCTGTATGTGTATGTGTGTGTGTGTGTGTGTGTGTGTGTGTGTTTTCCTCACCAGGTTTGCACAGGACACACAGTCCTCGACTGTCCCGTATTAACTCCATGGTGTCCTGGTCTGCTCTCAGCAGTCTAATGGGATAAACGCTGGGCAGAATCACACTGTTGAAGCCACACCTGGCCAGAGGAGCGCATTACACATCAATAAATCACACAGAATACCTATTCAGATCTAATGAGTCCAATAACCATTCATCATGTGACACTGAAGACTGGAGTAATGATGCTGAAAATACAGCTGCGCATCACAGGAATACATTACAGCTTAACAGATACTCACATAGAAAGCATATAAATATTTCACTGTTTTTACTGTATTTTTGATCAAATAAATGCAGCTTTGGTCAGCAGATGACACATATCCCTACTAGACATTGAATCACACAATCTAACGTTAATATTTTATGCAATTAATAATAATTTCATATTTTACTTTCTATAGATATTAAACCACACATCTGCTGTGTGTGTGTGTGTGTGTGTGTGTGTGTGTGTGTGTGTTTTCCTCACCAGGTTTGCACAGGACACACAGTCCTCGACTGTCCCGTATTAACTCCATGGTGTCCTGGTCTGCTCTCAGCAGTCTAATGGGATAAACGCTGGGCAGAATCACACTGTTGAAGCCACACCTGGCCAGAGGAGCGCATTACACATCAATAAATCACACAGAATACCTATTCAGATCTAATGAGTCCAATAACCATTCACACACACCTTGTTGTCCATGTTGGGGAGGCTGCAGTTGCACTCATTGGCTCAGTAAAGCTCACCGATGCGTTTGATGTTGAAATGTTTCATAAATGCTTCACAGATATTGTACTGGACCACCTGCAAACACACACAAACCTAAGTTAAACACTTAAGATCAACCATCAGCAGTCAAACTGAATAACTGACCCTTCAATACCGGTGCAGAAATATCCACGGTATAAATATCATGCGGTAATGTATCAGAAATATCATGCACTAATGATGCTGGTTTTGCTCAACTGGTTTTACTCATATTTTACACTAGACATAAGATGATGAACAGTTATATTTATGAATTTAACAGACACTTTTATTCAAAGCAACTTTAAAAAGATTAGGAACAAAGGAACAATTCATGCATAAAGTGTACCTATATCGTACAAGAGTTAAACAAATGTTAAAAACACATCAAATGTAATAGCAAAATGTTGTGTATTTATTAAGCCAGATATTTACTTTTATTTTCTTCGTGGTACAGTTTTGAACTTTTAAACTGAACAGTGACAGATTAATTTGCACCAAAATACTGTCAAATTTAGAATTACGGCCTTCAGCAAAAAAAGTGTATTTGTGTGCATCTGATATCATACAGTAAAGATTCTGGTTTTGATGGTTTTATAACTGATTTTACTCATATTTTATACTGGACATCTAATGCAAAAATGACTTACAAAAGAATCTTACAAAAGAAAACAAAAAAATCTTGAAATCGAACAAATGTTTCAATAGTTTGTAGTATTATATTTGTTCGGCCAGTTATTCACTGAACAAACCATCTTTTAGTTGTCACAAGCTCTGGTTTACTTCATGGTACAGTATATAACTATTTACCTTTTATTTTGAACACTAACAAATGTATATGCAGCAAAATACTGCAAAATTTGTTTGGAATTACGGCTTTCAACAAAAGATAAGTAGAGTGTTTTCTCCTTCTTTTTAATATACTGTAAAAGTCTGATCATTTTCTTATCCTAAATGCATGCTGATATGATTAGTTGCACTTTAATGTTTTCTTTGCTGTCTGTGCTGCCATCTAGTGTGTGAATATAAAATCTAAGATGACTAATGACTGAGGTCAGAGGTCCTCACCATGCAGTTGTATTTGACACAGTTGTCCCAGAAATGGCTAGCGGAGAAGTTCCTGCGGCTCACCACCATCAGCCGGTGCAGCAGACACTGACCCACACCCACGATGTTACCAGGGAAACACGGAGAGAGGAGACATGATTGGATGCTTAGAGCTGTCTGCTGAACTTGTGCGACCTAAATTACACATTCATTTCATTTAAAAATAGGGCTGGTTAAAAAATATAGATTTCTCGATATTAATTGATTCTCCTTTTTACGGAACGATATCGATTCCTAAATCCCAAAAATTTATTATTCTAGCCTGTTTTCAGTTAATGGACGGAACACTGAAAGGGCACTTCCCATCTAATAAATCGCAATAAGCATTGTGCGTTGGTACTTTTAATATGAAACAAAATCTCCGATTTCAAATTCTGTCCATTGTGTTGCAGTATTCAAACAATAAATGCTGTTTTGGCGCTGCTTAATGTGGAGTGACAGAGGCACGCGTGAACTGTCACTCCAGCCCAATGACATCCAAAATTACAGACCTGTGGCTCTAAAGTCTGTGGTCATGAAGTCTTTTGAAAAACTGGTGCTGGCCCACCTGAAGGACATCACTGGACCCTTGCTGGATCCTCTTCAGTATGCCTACAGAGCAAACAGGTCTGTGGACGATGCAGTCAGTATGGGACTGCATTATGTTCTGCAACAGATCAAGGACTTATGTGAGGATCCTGTTTGTGGACTTCAGCTCGGCTTTTAACACTATCATCCCAAACCTTCTCCTGCCCAAATTAACTCAGCTCTCCGTGCCCACCTCCGTCTGTCAGTGGATCACCAGCTTCCTGACAGACAGGCAGCAGCTAGTGAGGCTGGGAAAATACACATCCAGCACCCGTATAACCAGCACTGGAGCTCCTCAGGGGTGTGTTCTCTCTCCACTGCTCTTCTTCCTCTACACCAATGACTGCACATCTAAATATCCCTCTCCTCGTCAAGCTCCTGAAGTTTGCAGATGACCCCACACTTATCGGCCTTATTTAAGACGGAGACGAGTCTGCTTACAGACAGGAGGTTAAAGAGCTGGCTGTCTGGTGCAGTCTCAACAACCTGGCGCTCAACACGCTCAAAACTGTGGAGATGACCGTGGACTTCAGGAGAAACCCCTCTGCACTCCCCCCACTCACCATCATGGACAGCACTGTGACTGCAGTGGAGTCATTCAGGTTCCTGGGCACCACAATCTCTCAGGACCTGAAGTGGGACACTCACATTGACTCCATTGTGAAAAAGGCCCAGCAGAGGTTGTACTTCCTTCTCCAGCTGAGGAAGTTCAACCTGCCACAGGAGCTGCTGAAACAGTTCTACTCCGCCATTATTGAATCTGTCCTCTGCACTTCAATAACTGTCTGGTTCAGCTCAGCTACCAAATCTGACCTCAGAAGACTACAGAGGGTAGTCCGGACTGCTGAGCGAATCATTGGTACAACCCTCCCTTCTCTCCAAGAACTGTACTCGTCCAGAGTGAGCAAAAGGGCTAGCAAAATCACTCTGGACCCCTCACATCCAGCACACACCCTCTTTGAACTGTTGCCATCTGGTCAGCGCTACAGAGCACTGTATGTGATGCAATAACGACAGTAACGGAAATAATAGAAATAGGCAAACAGCAGAATTGATAGATACGAATTCCAAGCTCTTTTTTTAAGGAACAAGTTGTGATAATCACTTGAAGAAATTTTATATAATTCAGGGTATCCGGACACAGCCACTATGAGCGCCTCCTCCGCCATGTTGCCATCAAATAAAACAGATGTCATGCCAACTTGCTACTGTAAACAGAATCTCACAACACTTGACCCACCTCCGAGTTCTTCTGATTGGTCCACTGCTTTGGAACTGACATTGATGAGCGGCGCTGCGTGTAAACATTGAAATTCTTTTAACTTGACACGGCGTCTTAAAGCAGTGCATTAATATGGAACGGCGATTAAACTGACTTGGAACTACCTGTGCATTAAATGGTTTTACTGCATATCTGCCAACCAATCAGAATCCAGCATTCAGACAGACCATGGAATAAATATTTAGTAAATTATGCTGTACACGCTATTACATTTTATTCCTGTGTTGTTAGTTTGCATGACCCACTCTCTCTCTCTCTCTTGTAGAAAAGATTTGGGACTTCCTGATAAAATGAATAAAGTAAACTGACATGTATGACATCAAATTAATTTATTAAAAGAAAATGTCCACCATTCCAAATATATTCTTGCACACATTTTACAAATTAAAGAAACACATTTAGTTTACAAACAAGCGAAATCACTTAAACATTGTAGCTTGCTCACATCTTTCAGCACAAGAAGCCAACGTTTTCTTTCTAGAAAGCTGTACAGTCAAAAGACACTCAAAGAAATATTTCAGCTTTTTTTCCAACAGTGACCTCAGTACCTTAATTATTTTTTGCAGTTTTTCTGTGACATGACCAGTTTTAAAACAAAATCTTTAGATATAAAAGCAAAAATCTAATTGTGATTTCTGACACCAGATATGTATGAAATGGCACCAGTGCGAAGGTCAAAGTGCAGACTGTAGCATCACTGAGAGACTCTTCATGCTTCTGGAAGCTGACAGAAGAAACCTAAAATCACACAAAGGGATTGTCACTGAGAAATAAGGGGAGTCCATGACATTCACTGACAAACATTCATGCACTTACACTTATGACGTGTCATAATATCACTTTTAACTCATATTGAGAAATTGAGTTATTGGATCTCACCAAACTTACCTGTTTGCTGGGTTGTTTACAATTGTGTGTGTGTTTGTGTGTGTGTGTGTGTGTGTGTGTGTGTGTGTGTATATATATGTTGACCTCTTCTGACACCAAAAGGCAAACAACCCAGTCAAATGGTGTCAATAAATTAAAACAAACTGTCTTCATTTATTCAGCTCTTCTGTGAAACACAAAATGTTAAAAAATAAAAATAAAAAAAAAAGACAGAACGCAACTACAGGCTGACGATCTCCAAAAATGATAATCAATAAATAAAAACGTGATGTTTGGCTTCAACAGTGTCAAACCTGTCTGAATGAGTGCAAGAACAGAAGAGCTTCAGCATAATGAGAAAAAGAGTTGGTGGATCTCACCAGGCTTTTCTGTTTCCTGGACTGTCATTTCTTAAAAAAAATTAAAAATTAAAAATTAAAAATCATTCTTTCACATTTTGCACATGCTGTACATCCAATGATCACATTTTTCTAAATATCACTTTCAACTCAAACTGAGAAGCAGACTTACCAGGCTTTTCTTTTTCTGGTGATGTTTCTCTTTTGGTGTCAGATGTCGTCATTTCTGAAAATACACAATCATAGAGCACTGATTGTTCAATAAATTAGAGGAACCAATTCCGAAATTGTAAACACAAAATGTGATTGTTTGAAGATATTTTCTGAAGCAGACAGTAACTGTCAAGCTCCAAAAAGGACAAAAAACACTATAAAAAGTGCTGTAAAATATCCCATGTGACTCATTTGAAGTCTTCCTAAGCTGTATGATACTGTGTGAGGAGTGAACACATATCTATGATTATTTAAAGAAAAGAACTTGTGTATATTCATGCTTGGTGTATTCTTGGATATCATTGGTTACAGAAACGGTGATGGTTTGGCTTCAGCAGTGTCAAACCTGTCTGAATATGCTTTAGAATGAGCAATGAGCAAAAGAGCTAAAAGATTTACATTTAGATCAATTATGTGTTTTCATTGTATGGAAAGCAGCTGTCAAAGTTTAAAAAAACATTGTTTATGCTCCACAAAACAAGCAACACCAGGTCCAACTGATCTGGAATGACCGGAAGGTGAAAGTCGTTTCTTTGTAAACTGACTGCAATAAAATATATCTGTAATAAAAATGCTTTTTTTCTGTACCTTACAGAACTAAAACACAAACAATCAGCCAGTTGTAATTTCTGTTTTACTTAAACACATAAACAGTGGTCTGTGGTGTAAAGCTGGTGTGAAAATAACTGTTCACACTTAGCCTGACGCTGCAGACTTTACACAGCATGCTGCTTTAAAGGGACAGTACACTACAAACATACAATTCTGTCATAATTTGCTCAGCCTCATGACTTTATATGACTTTTGTTTGAATTCATTTCTTCAGTGGAGCACAAAAGAAGATATTTTGAAGAGCGTTGGTAAACATATTACTTTGAACCCCACTGACTTCCGTAGCATGGACAAAACACATTTCTCAAAATACCTTCTTTTGTGTTTATCTGAAGAAAGAAAGAATTTCTAGAAACAGTAGTGCAGTGTATAATCAATCAATTAATCTATTTTCATTTTATTTTTGAGAAGATTGCTATGTATTCTACTGTTCAGTATTGGCAAGTTACCAAGTAATTCATTACAAATGTTTAGGTTAAAAGAGTGTTTTACCTCCGGTCACGTGTAGCTGAACTTCAGTGAATATTAAGGACCCAGAACTCTCCTCTGCACACCAGTATTTCCCAGAATCCTCTGCTCTCAGATTGCTGATCTTCACAGTAAAGACTCCAGCAGAGGTTTCTTCAGTCAGAGAGAATCTGCCGTTTGTTCTGTTATTTGATGAAACATGAACTCCGTCTCTGACGCAGATATTCAGCTGATCTCGTCTGCAGAACAACCTCTGTGCTTGATTCCTGATGTGTTTACAGCTGATGGACGCTGATCCTCCGACAGACGCTTCATGAGTGACCGCTGAAGAGCACAACATTAAATATGATGAGTTTGATTACAGAAGGAGCAGAAACATTGAGATTATTCCCAAATAAACATCCTCACCGTCCTTCGTGATGATCATGAGCTCAATGGGAAGGTTAAACGCATCTTTCACTGCACACCAGTATTTCCCAGCATCCTCTGCTCTCAGATCAGTCATGGTCACAGTGAAGAGATTGAGTGCAGTGTCGTCCTTTACTGAAATCTTTGGGTTTTTAACATAATCTTCATCTGACCGAATGATATTTTGAGCATCTGGAGTGAAACACTTTCCTTTGCACAGATGCTTTATTTCTTTTGTGTGGTTTTCATCATAAGGGCATTTGATCTCGACTGAATCTCCTTCACGTCTGATCACTGGAGACAATAATAGTCAAAGAGAATAGAGAAGTATTTATACACTGTGAAATACATGCATATAATATTGAACTGCATGGTTTGTGGTTTCTGTACACACTGGTTAAAGTCAGTTGGTGGTTATTGGTGAGAGAAACAGAAGTCAGATATGTGTCTCTGGTTTCTGCTCCACACCAGTAAACTCCAGCATCTCTCAGGCTCACATTACTGATGCTCGCTGTAAAAACTCCTGCTGTACTGTCAGAAAACTCAAAGCGCTGCTTCTCTGATGAGCTGATGCTCTGACAGATCTTCTCATTGTTCTCTTTGCAGATGTGTTTGATGGTCTCGTGTTTCTCAGGGTAACTGCAGCTGAGTTTCACACGTTCACCAATAACAGCAGCTGATTCGTTTGATGCATGAAAATGATCAGCTACAAACAAAAACAATTAAAAAAATCAGAAATTCAAATCATGTTAACTTCTAGAAATTGTCCAGAAACAGGCTCCTCACAGAAACTCTTTACCTTGATTGATCTTCAGTGTGATCTCAGTGAACAGATGATCGTCAGCGGTATTCACTCCACATCTGTACGTTCCTTCATCAGCTGCTGTTAAATCTCTGATAAAAACCTTCAAAACTCCTTCACTGGTATCATCATACATGAGCACTTTATCATGACGGACCCATCGATTCTGTTCATCAACAGGGATCTTCTCTGATGAATCTTTCTGGATGAATTTTTTGTTTTCTATAAATTCTTGTGGAAATTTACACGTTATGAAAACTGCTTTACTGATGTAGGCCTCAACCTGGACAGAAGATATTTGACCTGCAAGACAAGATGTGATTTATTACATTATTAACAGTCAGGAGAGATTTACATTTCTTATTTAGAGCTGCAAGGATTTTATCATTAAATAGAAACTAAACTCACTAGAAACATTCAGCTCAATCTCCTTAATGAAGGTTATGTGAGTAATTGATGTTTTTGAAGGTCGATCATCTGATCCGTCTCTCTCCACTCCACATAAATAAACTCCACGCTCCTCTGCAGAAATGTTTCTGATGGTCACAGTAAAGTGATCTTTCTCTCTGTCAGTCAGGTTGAACTTCTCTTCAGATGATTGAGATGATTGAGAGCTGTTCAGCACAAGCACAGGATCTCCCTTCACTCTGTAGAAGACTGTGGTGTGTTTTTTAAACTTATGCTCATATTCACAACTGAAAGTGATCGTTTGACCAATATATGCAGTCTGGATAACAGACGTCCCACAAGAAGAAGACTCTGAAAATGATTTCAATAAAACCATTGTGACATGCACGGAAATCTTACAATGCTAATAATTAATATTATTATAGATGCACTACAGAGAACTTTTTCGCCATCTCTGTTTGACAGATACAGTGTCATGTTTCTTGCAGAGTTATTTACATTAACGTGTGTTGTGCATGTGTTTAGGTCTATGTACTGTATGGTCACCTGTGATCAAAACACGAGAGAGATCTGTCATCCTACATCAAGACAGTGAGAGAAAAACAAGGCAAATATCCAGAAAAAAAAAAAGTCAAATGAACAAGTAAATTTTCGTAGACCGTCTTCTTTCTGTGACCTCACAAATATGACTGATGTTAAACTGACATTTCAGTCAGCTCAAATTATAAATCATTATTATACTGTTGTGAATTATTATGAGGCAGTCAGGCAGTCATAACACTGAGTTATGAATTTGAACAATAGCTGATTTTTCTGTAGTGCATCTTTAAATATTATAAGTATAATAGTATAATAAAGTAGTAAGTTATAAAGTATCATACGCACTTTTGTTCACCACTAAATCAACATCATGACTCCATTTCAGCTTGTTTCCACATGTGTATTCCCCATCATCCTCTCTGCTGAGGTTCCTGATAAACACTGTGAGGAATCTGCTGTTTTCATCGTCATACAGAGCGAATCTCCCATTATTAACCCAGCGGTGCTGAGTCTCAGTACTGATTCCTTTCGTACAGTCTCTGTTTCTGCAGAAATACTTTCCTTTATGCTGATCATTAGACTCTCTCTGGTTCGGGGGTTTTGCGTTATGTTGCTCATCAGACTTATACACGCACTTGAACATTACACTCCCTCCAGTGCAGCCAATCACTCTGAAACAAAGTACCTGACCTGCCAAACACAAGTTCATTTGCTCTATATTATTATAATGATCAGTTAAAGCTCAGGTTTGAGTAACCAGTAAAGAACTGACCTGACATCAGGCAGAGAGTGAAGAAGAATGTGATTGTGATGGCGGCCCTCATTCCTGATTTACTTTAATCTCACAGATATTCAGAGAAACAGTAGTTCAGATCGCAGTCATATATAAACATACACTCATATCCTCCTCTCACATTTCTGCTTCCTCTTTCTCTGAACGCCTCCACCCATCAACAGGGCGTCAACTGTGAGAATATGTGTGAAAGACTCACACAGGCCACTGTCCTGCAGAGTTTACCTTCATCCCTAATCAAATACAGCTGATAAATCTAACCTTCAGGATGGCTTGAAAATTGCGGGCAGCTGTGTTTGATGGATTAGGGGTGCCACCATATACCGGTATTGACGATAACCACAATATTAAAAATGAACAATACACTTATGATAACACGACACGCAAATAGCCTACTCCAGCGCCAGTACCTGCTTGACCTCCCAGGGCGCAGTATTATCTCCAAGAACCATGCTCAATATTATACAGACAGTAGTTGCCATTATGTTACTAGTCATGGAATGGGAAACGTTACATTAACCTGTTAACAGCGGTTTCCTGTGTTCATATATTTAAATAAAATTTGCATAAAATTCAAGGCATTAATGTTTGTCTACAAAACCACACTGGCTCTGCACCCCTTTACCTAAATTCATTACTTCAGAGTTATGTGCCTCTAGAAGCTTGCGCTCTGCAAGTGAACGTCGCTTTATTGTTCATCCCAAAGAGGCACAGAATCACTTTCACAGACTTTTACATTAAATGTTCCCTCCTGGTGGAGTGACCTGCCCAACTCAATCCCAGCAGCTGAGTCCTTAACCATCTTCAAGAAACGACTAAAAACACATCTCTTCCATCTTTATTTGACCCTCTAACTCTATCACTCTCTATTCTAATTCTATTCTTTAAAAAAAAAAACTTGCCCCTTTTAGACTTGCACTCTATTCATTTACTAACTGCTTGTTTTTTTCTTTTAAAAAAACTAACGCTAGCTTTTCTAATCTTTTTGTATTCTATCTGTTTTCTTTTCATTTATTATACAATTAACAAAAGCAAAAAAGGCCTCTAACACTAGCTTGCTCTATTATTTTTCTATTTTATCTGTTTTCTTTTTATTGTCTTTTATTTTATTTGTTTATCAGGTGGATGCTGCACACTGGTGGTGGTTGAGGAGATGCCCCCCCTTTCATGTAAAGCGCTTTGAGTACCTATAAAAGCGCTATATAAATGTAACAAATTATTATTATTTATTATACAATAATTAAAAAAAAATTGCAACATGCCATGCACTGAAAGCCGTTCTAGGCGCACATTAAAACTGAATTAGAAGTGCGTTAACTGCATGACTTCATTGGCGCCAGCACAACTATAGGTTAAAGGGTTACTCCACCCCAAAATGAAAAAACGGTTAATAACACATGATGTTTTGTAGTAATGTTGTCTCTGGTCGTCTGATCTGTTCACGTTCATGCGTTCGGGGGGCGTAGCTTTGGACGGCTATTTGTAGGTAGGGTGGGGCACACGCTTTCAGTGCTATCAGGCTAAAGTTAGTATTTTCCAAGATCTCCTACTGCACCTTTAAACAGGTGATAGTAATTGGATATGAATACATATGTATATATACAAAGTGTAAAATTGTTGCATTTTATTTTAATGCTGCTAATCAGATTGCTCTATCAGAATTTCGTTGTATAAACATATGCAATAACAATAAAGACCTAACCTAACCCAGAGCCGTATGAGAGAGTTGCAACATCTCCGTTCACTCCAATGGACCAGTTTTTTACAGCAATGGCGGATCGTGTTCCCGGAAGTTAGCGCTCATACTATCAGCGCCGAAGAGATGCAGCAGAAAAGACCGCTGTGATGAACTTTTAAAAGGTAAGACATTTATTGAATAAAATGTTATATTATTAGCACAGCTAATCAAATTCCCTTGCGCATTAAAACAGATAATTATTAGATTATTCCTCACTTCTTCATTTACGGGATGCTATTCATTCTCTTCATGCAGTTTCATTCGTCGTTGTGTAATTAAGGCTTTTAAATGTGATTTCTGCTGGTGGGGAGGTATTTAATAGACTTGGATTTATTGCAAAGGATGCAGATGGACCTAAGTGAGAATAAAAAAAAAGTTTAAAATAGGCGAGCAGTTTTCATTTCAGAATCATGCTCGGCTAAATTTCCAAAAATGTATTATGTACCACTACTATATTATAGAAGTAATCACAGTAAACCTGTACTGTATTACTGTGTTTTACACTTAAATGTCTTAGCTAGAGTAGAAGCACTGTGTTGAAGGAGCAGATGCCACAGGACTGAAATGTGATGGAGCATCACTTAGCCATTTCTCATGTGTTTTTCTCCTTCTCTTTCTCGCGTTCAGAACAAGAACCACCTCAAGACTCCCTGTAATGAGACATCACCCTCACAATGAGCCTCTTCACTGGGTTTGGCAAGTCTTTCCCTGTTCTTTGTGAAAAAGTGTCAGTTCCCAAGTATGATTCCTTCACATTTTGTTGGTGTAATCTATAGATTGCTCCTGCTGACTATATCCAGCCTCTT